CCGGTATCTGCACGACGTGCTCCATGGGCAGTTGCTAGGCACTGGCCGTCTCTTGAACGGTTTCTGGGATATGCTTAGAGGATCCTGGGGGTAGTTTTATCTTATATACATACAACATAGCACCACCATGTGACATATACTACAGCTACTACAGATGTCATATGTATATACATATATTATATAGTTAGTTGACATGTATAAATATATATATATATATACAAGCAACCATAGCCAAGCAAAAGCTTGGAGCATAGTTTATCTCAAGGGTGTGTGTGCGAGGCTCTTTGCTCACCTACCTTTGTGAGGGTGGTGCATTTGGTGCATGGCAAGCTGGGCGTGGCCGTGGCCGATATCCTGATGTTTTGCAAGAGCGATTGCGGGTCGCTTTCCGCCGTTTTGGTGAGTGGAAAAAACAAAAGGGGCTGGTGTCAACACAAGCTAGATTTACATGTGCCAGGCTCAACCGGAAGTTGAGAAGTGATTTTCCTTGTCTGTCCTCAAAGGGTATTGCTTCAAAACGCTTGTCATTTTGGCTGGCTGATGTTGCGGTAGAATGGGCGAACAGGGAAGAAGCAACTGAACTGGACAAACTATTTGGCCAGCTGTGCCTACTCATATGTCAGTTTTTTGCAAATGATTGATGAATATCCCCTTGTGCTTACAAGGCGACAGGCTCAGAACATATTCAAAGCAGGGCTTACCCACCTTCAGACATATTCCAGATTGCGAAGCTTGTCATCTGAAGTTGTTGGGGCCCATGCCAACAACCGGTGTTTGTGGCAGCTGGCTCCCAAGCATCATTACATGATGCATGAACTTGATACTGTCAAGCGCACGAGAATCAACTGCAGGCATTTTACTTTGCTGACTGGGGAAGGATTCATGGGCGTTATTTCCAGAATGGCGAGGCCATGTCACAGGTCCAATGTATCCAAAAGGGTTTTGCAACGGTACAAAGTCAAGCTTGCCTTAAGTTTGCGACGGCACTTCGCGCGAAGAGATTAAAAGAGTGCTATATCTGCTATGTCACATGATGATGCTATCATGGGGCCCTCGTGGTGAGGGGTCGGGAGAAGTAGGGGCCCTCAGCAATTTTCATTGATGATCCCCCAGGCCTACTGAGGGACCGATGTGTGTTTGGATCCTTTGGGATATATGATATTCATGTCTATGTTTACGTAGAACATAGATATATTGTATACACCGGGCATTCCCTTACCAGTTTTTCATGGTTCACGTTTCCATCTAGTTGCGGATCACATATCGCCAAGAAACTATCTGCCCTTTTCATGTCCACTTGCCACACCTCGTCATAGCACCTCAGCTAAGTTGTCGTCGCTAACCTTTGTGGACACCTGGCGTTTCCCTTGTCCATTTAATGGTTTCAACATGCTTCAACCCATTTCTGAAGAGGAATGAAGGTATATAAAATAATTCAGCAACTTCAACAGTTCCGTCCTTCTGCGGGTGTTACCCCTCATTGTTCATAATTTTAAGCGCGTCGCCATGCAGCTAAAAATTCAGCCAACCATTCAGGATGTAAAGCGGCAAGCCGTCATACGAAACCAACCTCAAAGACTACTGTAATAACATGCAACACCTTCAAAGTTTTGGCTCTAGCCAGAACCCCCCCACGCTTCAAAGCTTTCCACAGTAAAAAACGTCGAACCGTGGTATGCGCACACCCTGTGGTATGCGATGACTGCTCTGAAATGCCTTGCCACATAAGTGCAAGTTAAGTTCAAGGTATCTGAATCCAATTTCAATGTATTTGGGTCCGTGATAAGCCCACTGGACAGGGCCCTTACCCACCAGAGCATACCAGAGCCACAACTGCTGCCGTCTACTATCATATTGGCACTTGAAGCTCTCAACAAGGATAGGAGAGAATTATGATGGGCAACGTGCGGCATCACCGTCACCATCTCCATGATCACCATCATCATCGTCATCATCTTTTTCAGGCTCATGATTGATCTAATCCAAGGCTCTTCAACATAAACATCATGTGCAAGTAAATCTGAATTAATCTTCGTGCTCAGTCTTAACCCACGGAAACAGAATCCCATATTTTGTTCATTATGGTGGACCAACACTCCAATTATGTCAATAAACCCAAGGACTTCTACGAGCAAAAACCGATGTACCAGGCATTTCTATGTATTTCTGTGATCCAAAAATGCATGTACCTGGGGGTATCAGCAAACCAAAATCGATGCACCTAGGGCTATCAGCAAACCAAAATCGATGTACCAAACCGAATCTGGTGCATTGATTTTCTGGACTCTCGAAATTTTCTGGCGCCAGGTGCATTGATTTTGGTTTGCTGATACCCCCAGGTGAATCGATTTGTTGATCACAAAAATACAGAGAAATGCCTGGTACATCGATTTTGGTTCGCTGCAGTCCTTGGGCGTATTGATGTGTATATGGGGCATAGTTTCTGTAGCTTGAGACTGATCATGAAGATGAAGACCTACTTGCCTGCGATGAACATGGCGATAGTGGTGATAACGACGATTATGACTATGAAGAAAACTTTGGTCAATCACACAGGTCATTATATATATATATATAATGTCAATATAAAAATAAAATGAGTTTTAATTCTGGCGGTGATACCACCCATTGCCCATCATCCCTCTTATCCTTGGTGGCAGCTGCAAGTATCAATATGGTAGTACACGGCACACTTTTTTGGCTGTAGTGGTCCAGGGGCCTACCCAGTGTGCTTATCACGGACCCAACAATTACATTCAAATTGGATTTAGATACCTTGAATAATGAATATAAATTGTATGCGCGCTAAAATTTTAAATCGTGCTGTCTGCACACTCTTTGTAGCATGTGAAACTGCACAAGTATATGTTCCGTTCAGGAAGCCTCAACTCACTATGGAAACTATGGTCTACGAAACAGCAATGGTATGCATTGGCCTTGTTGAGTATGTTCCCGCACATGCACGTGGAATACGATTTTGTCATGGTATATCATATATCTATACGGTGAAAATAAAACATAAATATACAAAATAAATAAATGCATAAATAAATAAAAATAAAAATATATTTATATATATGGAGATTCTTTCAGTATGGGGAAACCACTTTTAGAATAGCATGAAACATTGATGCGTCAACACACTAACATGTTTGCTGAGTTTTCCCATGTATCCTGGTTGGTGAGTCAACTCTGGATACTCGCTTCCTTCTACTGACATACCTTCCAACTGTTATTCCCCACATCTTTGTGTGGGGTTCTTGCTTTTGGTCGTGCGCTCCCGTCCGCTCCTCCTGCCTCCTCCTGCCTCCCGCCGCCTCCTCCTCACACACAACTTACTCATCACACACAACTCTCCCACACACACACACAACTTACTCACACATAATTCTCACACACAGTCACACACAACTTACTCGCACACAACCCTCACACACACAACTTACATACAACTTACTCACACACCACTCAGATACATACAACTTACTCACACACACACACAACTCTCCAAGACTACTCACACACACACACACACACACACTTCTCTCACGCGTGGCACTTGGCGACATCGACCTTCACTGATAGCGTTGGGCTGGCTCGGTGGCGGGCTTGGGTCCCGCGGTCGCGGCGGCTGTTTGCTTGGCAGGCTTGGCGCTTGGTGACATGGACCTTCACTTTGCGTGGCAGGCGTGGCAGTTGGCGACATCGACGTGCATTCTGCGTGGCAAGCGTGGCACTGATGGCACTGGGATGGCTCTGGTGGCGCGCTTGGGTGCCGTGGTCGCCGCAGCTGTTTGCGTGGCAGGCGTGGCACTTGGTGACATCGACCTTCACTTTGCGTGGCAGGCGTGGCACTTGTGGCACTGGGCTGGGTCTGGTGGCGCGCTTGGGTCCCGGTGACGCCGCTTCATTTTGTGTGGCAGCGGTGGCAGTCGTGGCACTTCTCCTTACACACACACACACACATCTTTCACCAACAACACTTCTTTCACCAACAGCACTTTTGCACGGAAATCTTTCACACACCTCACTTCGACATGCATTTCTTGCACATACGGATCCTCCACCATCTCTTTTCTCTCTCCTGCCTTTCCCGACCCATTTTCACTTGGCTACTTATTGGAAGAAGTTGACATGTGGGGTTATCCGGTCCTGTAATTTTTGGGTTGGACCCATGCTTCCACACAGGACAAACCTCCTCGTCCAAGGGATGACGGACCAAGCCTAACCAAGGCACATGGAGCCGCGTAAACACGCGGGCTCCGGGAAGATGGAAGGGCAAATCTTTGGCCATCGCCTCAGTGATCTCTTGGACTTTCTTGGGCTACCAGGTAGCTACCGTACCGCCGATACCATAGGACGTTTCCAATATCAGTTCCATAAATACCACTCCCAATGGTAACTCGCACATATTTTCTTTGATAAGAAACGTATGTCATGTGTGACATGTTCCCAGTCTTGGGGATCTCTGAAACGTCGAGCAGTCGGACGGACACTGGCCAACTGGGAAAAAACCAAGGCCCGCTTTGTCCTTTTTGATGATCACAAGCTCAGTCTGGACACTTAAAGTGCTGCTCGAGGCTGGGAATTTGAAGCGCCTCCGCCGGAATCTCTTGGAGAACAGCCCGCTTTGAGAGATTCACGCAGTTGGTCATGCTGAGTACTGAAACATTTCATGCTTGGGATTTGGGGCTCATTCCATTGCCTAGGAGAAGTTGCATGCCCTGGTCCTCCCACTATGGGATTTGCATTCCCTCCTGGATTCACTGATTTGCAGTGTTGTCCTCTGCACCACAGAAACATCCATATGATGATGGTATGATGCAGGTGTTTCCAGATGAATGGCTGGCGTTTCACTTGTGACATTTGTGAAATACCCAGCAATTTTTGTTTTGGCTGTCTCGGAAGTGCAGAGAACTCTGACGCTATCTACCTACAAACTAGATATTACATCGACAACATTTCCCTCTAAAATGATATAGAATGGCACTGATGGATTTTCATGGACTCAGCAATCCACACCATCCAGGCTCGGCCTCCACCAGAAGTGGAAGATCCTCATGCTGCCAGAAAACCACCAAGGTGCTCTCGGCAAATAGCAACGTTTTGGCCTGGGGGCTATAGCAGCTATATACCATTTGGAGCTGGGCGTCGCACTGGCACCCTGGCTGGATATCCCAATCATCAGATTTGTGTTGATCTTGAGATGTGAAAAACAACCCAGTGCACCTTGGAATTCTTGAATAAATATAGTTGGGTATGAGCCATTCTTCCACTTTAATTTACAGCAGCACATAATGTGCTATATTGTAGCCAACACAATGAAGGTCTTGACATTGACACACTGCGCATGTTCACTCACAACTATCGCCCAGCCGCGTGCTCCGCAAAGCAGCTCGCATCCACCTGTGAGCTTGCTGCTCAAAGACATTGCAATGGCATCAGTTGGCGAAATTGATGAAGATAAACCATGAGACCTCCAAACTTTGGTAACCTTTTCCAACAAACAACCAGACTGGGGAACTCTATTGTCAGGTCCACACCCATACGTCTCCATAACGATTTGCTTTTTGGCTTTGTGCCGATAAATATGGGTCGCCACAACATAGTGACAACATTCCACGGAACAAATCGTGGCATGATATATGAGGTCATTCTACGTATATTATATTATAATAATTATTATGACTGTATATTTTATATTTAACATAATATACATTATGTAATAATAAAGTATTTACAGTGTAGACATGTGTTTCACCGTCAACTAGTTTGGGATTTCCAAGTTCATCCAAGTCTTTTCCTTCCCCACCTTGTCACAAGGCATCTGCAGCTTCAGTCCCAAGGCATTTGCCAATGGCTTTGCTGTGTCACGAGGACGAGTTGATTGGCCTGAAACCACGACCAAAATACGACTGGCTGTGCAGTTGGAGTGGACAAAACCCATGACATGCCATGAATTGGATATCACGGCCATGAGTTGGGATATATAACTGCAATGATTCCAGCCATTTCTCCTGGGTCCCTCAGTCTTTGATGAAATCACTGTTGCGCCTGGTCGTACTCGACTGGCCATCACAGCCCTGGCTTTGCCTAGCGGCATCCTCGGGTGGAGACGATTTAACCCCGAGGAATCAAAAAACACCACGGTTGGTAGGTATCCCTAGTATGGGTTATACAGAATTGTGTCTGAAATCAATTTTCTAAGCAGCAAACAAACGGTGGTTGAATCAACAAAGAATAATATTGATATTTCACGAAAAATGTATTGGATATCTACCGACCTTAATGGGAACATGGTGGTTGAACTATATAACATGGTTTAACATGTGAATATTAGGGTTTTCTGAGTATGTATATATATATATACGCATTATATATGCATGTATATATATGTATGTCTGTCTGTCTGGCTGGATGGATGGATGCATGCATGCATGCATACACCTGGTGCACCGAAACCCTAAGAATTCTTCGGGTCAATACAAGAACCTGAGGTATTTCAGAACAAATCAGAAAACCTGGGTTTTTGATTGAAGACCTCGGGTATTGATTTTCAAGCTATACTTAACCCGTACCTAACCCGTACTTAACCCGTACTTAACCCGTACTAACCCGTACCTAACCCGTACTTAACCCGTACTTAACCCGTACTTAACCCGTACTTAACCCGTACTAAACCGTACCTAACCCGTACTTTCAGAATTTAAAAAAATACCTCGGGTCTTGTCGGAAAACCCTGGATTTTTGACACCCTAGGATTTCTGCGGGTTTTGGTTCTCAAGGTGGTGGTGATGTGATTGAGATATGGTCATAGTGAATGGATATGATACATATACTCATTCAAACATTGTTTATATGGAAATAACAAAAATGATATTTGCCAACTCTCGTGATATGATATAAAACCAATAATTTTCTCGGATATAATATGATGTAAAATGGTGTAATCATTATTTTTTGGAAAGCAAGCCTGATAAGGACTTAATGGGATAATCGGATACATATGCAACCATACTGCGGATGTAATGGTAATGTTCACCAATTCCTGTGAACTGAGATAGATGTGGAAAACTGTGGAAAAGCCATGAAAGCCGGCGATTTCTAGATTTGTCCGAAAGGGGTTTCTCTAAGTTTACAGTATCTATGTAGCTTTACCCCAGGGTCACCAGCAACAACGGGTGTCATGCCATTCATGATCGTCCAGTGAGGTTGTGATCATTTGCCCATATTTGGCCAAGAATTGATTGCCGGTTATCTGCCTGAAATTTTGTAGGTTCCATGTCAATCTCATCATTATACAAGATTTCCAGAGACCCATGTATCATATTGTTGGTGGTACATCCCATGATATTTCTATTGCATCCTTATTTTGTTGTTTAAACCAACGGCCTAATATTGATCTAGCATGTGGTTAGGAAACTGCAGAAACCCAATTCGTAGCTCCTTGGCTCCCTATGCAAAACAAAGCAACATAAAGAACACAAATTACACCCAATAGCTCCGAACCACTCCCTCCTAACTACTGGATAATGCTGGCCTGTTATCCAAGTAGCGCTTTCTTAAAATCGGAGATCCCCAAGTCACCATGGGTTTTCTAAAATGGTCTAGCTTGGATGATTCGGGGGTACCCCCATGGATTGGAAACCTCCACCACAGAGTTGGGTTCCCCCACAGCCTGCTGCGCGACTCTCGACTCATGCATCGTGCCAAGTAAGCGGCCCGTGCCTTGCCAATGGCTGTCAACTCATGGCCACTGCCCGGGCACTTCCTTGAGGCGATTCTCAGGGTCAACGCTGGGGAGATGGCAATCTGTGAGTTGAGATTATCATATATATTGGTCTGATTAAAACGTGTATATCAAAGTCAAAGTGTATTCCAAATTAATATTGCTTATAATTATAGGCATAAAACATCATAACATGGCAAGCATGAAGATGAAACCTGAAATTTGGGGTATTTTCTGTTGTCCATCCCCACCCATGGAAACGATCCCAATCTGAGTCAACCTTGATCCCGATAAATGACCTATAAAATCCAATGTTTAGGCAACACACCATAAGATATCATAAGATGCTGAGGTAAAATATCCATCTGGTGATTATCTCTAGGCTTCACAGGGCTGAAATCCATGATAATTTGAACATATTTGAACATCACCCAGGGCCTCACCCAGCTATTGATTGACCAATCCATGACTCGTCCATGTTTGTACTTGGAGGATCATCCCATCTAGTGGTTCGTTACCTGTCGGTAGCTGGAGTATCCCATATGCTCCATGGTGCTGGAATATTTACCAACATTTCCCCCATAAATCACCCAGTTTTGTAGGTAAATATACTATACATGGAGCAATTGGGTATAGTTGCCAATAGTTATTACAAAATTACTTACTAAGTGGGATGTTCCGATTATGCCTACGATTCTTGGCTGGATATCCCTCCAATGCAAGCAACTCCGCATGACGCACCAGGTTGATCACGGCCTTGCCGGCTCAAGGACGGTGATGGGGACCTAGAACTGATGGGTCAAGAGCATCTATCACATCCTGGAAACAAAAAGCATCAAAACATCCCCCTGCAAAACTGGGTGATTTATTGATTTATTGGGTAAAAGCAAGTGTATCATTATTAAACAATGGATAGGAATCTGATGACAATATCTCCGACACACCTGGGGAAAAAGGCAAAGATCTCCCCGATGGGAATTCCACTGGCCATTGGGCCATTCCGAACTGATCTTACTTTTTTTGGGCAGGAAGACCGTCATTCCCATTTCCTGGACTAGAAAATTGGTCATCTTGTCCATCGGGATGGAAAGTAAGGTAGTCCAATCCCCGCTTTGTTTCACACACCAAATAGGATCAAAAGAAAACAGAATAGATCTACTACTAAACCAGAATGTCAGGATGTCTATTATTTGATATTCGAAGGAAGGGATTATGTACACTTGAATCACCAGGATACCAGTATGTGGGAATATTACTAGAAAATACTAGAATCATGTGATGACCCAATTCTTCGTGATGACGAATGTTAATGATCCCTTCAATCCCTTCACACTCATTTGAAGCAACACGCATGTCTGGTTGGTCTCAAGCCATCTTAAAGGTGTTGCTTCCCCAACTACCATACTGGCACCCATATTCCCAATTTACGTGCCAACATGTGCCAACCAAACCCAAACAAAGGGAACCATAACACAACGGGTTGGTATTGGCATTGACATTCCAGGAATCCAAACAAAGCTTCCACCGTCCATCAAGGCACCACATCCTGCGCGCTAGAAATGCTAAACAAGGAGAGAGCCCAGCGCAACAACATGGCCGGCGCACATTGAGGTGGATGATGCAAATGGCATTGGATTCAAGGATAGTTGGCTCCAAATATGGGACAATTCATGGTGCTGCAATTGAACAAGAATTGTCTGTTCAAGATGTCCAGTATTCGAAAGGCTAAACATGCAGCAAAAATGACACTAGACCATCATATCCACTTGTTTTTTTACCTGTAAAATAGGTTGGCCCACTGGAATCTTCCATGGTGAATAAACAGCAAATTCAGGCGGCACATAAAATATGTGTTTGCCAGCCTGAAGTCTTGGCGTGATTGCCATCACCAGCATTTCTATGCATTTCTGGGCCGGCCAATGTGCTCATTGTTTTTCCCTTTGACCTTGAGAGGCTGGTAGCTGATGCTAGATCATCAAGGTGGCCGGAAGTTGGACAAACAGCCACGTTGCAATGGGTCAAAACTTGTTTTTGCTGCCGCGCCCAGGGTTTTGACGAACAAAAAACTGGTGAAAATTCGTGTCATTGTGCTACCAAACGCTTGAACGACCCAAATGTATTGCCAACACCTGGCAAAGTCGCTCCAGAACACTGATCTGGAATGGGGCGACAAGCAGGGAATGGAATGCACAGATTGCACAGTGCCCTTCCGGAATCAAACCTGGGAAATGAGCATCTGCAAATTGTGTCATTTCCCCTTAATTACACTTAATTGCCAGGATAGATCCCCAAAAGGGTACACCATTTCAACCAAATGGTTCGAGCAGTTCGAGTATATACTCGAAAACAAGGCTTCACCATCTCGTTTGTTGATCAAATATGCTAATTTCAACCAGTCCAAACATCAACACGACAGAAATACCACTCTTTTCCAGCTCTCTCTGGTTGTTCAGGACAGGCCGCTCCCTTTAAGGGGCGACTCAGAGGGCGGACTTTCAGCTTCAACAAAAAAGACAGCAGCCAGGGGATCTTCTCTGAAAATGAAAATTTGCATAGCCTAGGTGGATAGATAGATAGGTAGGTACATAGCTAGATAGATGGACGGACCGACGTCTGTTGAACAAACAGACTGATAAAGAGAAACGACAAATTGCAGCCACCAACGAGGTAGTACTGGGTGAGGCGATCAGTTGTTGAAGCTCAGCTGCCTCAAATTCTGCTGGCAGTTGCATCTTCTCAGCTGGTATGTCTGGCGGTTGACAACGCTGTTAAAAAAACACATTTGGGTTTCTGTGTTTCAATATGTCACTGGACCAGCTGAGACAAGTCCGCGCAGTGCAGCGGTTATGCTATCTTTCTATGTCACTTCTTGTCCTTGTGGTACTTCTCAATCCATTCAATCCTGCATCCAGGCTGCTACAGTGTGAGATAAATCTTGTCTCATCACAAGCTGACAGTAATCCATGTTGGCGGAAGAGCCTCTATATTACATGGCCAAACTTGCCCAGCTTAGATTCGAGCAAAACACATTTCATCTGGTCAATATACCCACGCAAAAAAATGGTCCATCAAAACTTTAGCGAGCTTATCCACACATTTCTCGCCAGCATCCTCGCAGTATGTAATCATGTATTGTGTGGTTGCAAAATCCGTCGATCGGAAACTAGAGTGTTTATCTACAAGTACAAATGAAGGGATTTGATTCTCATTGGTTCTCCTTTGTTTGCCCCCCCAAACATCACTTTGGATTCTCCAATGGCTGGTTGACACCTCTTTCTGCGGTATTCGAACTACGAACAAGTTGTGAAACAAAAGTCAAGATCAACATGTTTGTTGGTTCAACCAATCCTATTGTTTGGTTATGAACTTTCCATTGTTGTCAGTAAACCACCCACAGCAAAGGTGTAAATCTGGCATGTCCAGCTCTCTTGGCTACAATTGAGTATGCCTATGCAAATCTCCATATCGCATATTCAGTGGCTGATAAAAACGTCTTTGTTTGTTGAACCGTGTTGAAAGTGTATGTGTTAGCGGGATATGTACGATCAGCTAGCAGTACACATGCTAAGTCTATCCAACGGACTTGCTACAATCCATCAAACACATAACCGTTTGCAGTATGGGTTTGTCTGGGAATAGCTTACCCCTAAATCCATGGATTAACTATGATTATATTACTTAAATTGGCCATGTGGAGGTATAATCCATTTTCAGACAGACTCCAGTATGACATCTGGCTGAAATACACATTGTTACAAACCTGAACACAGCTGAAATACGGCCATGGTATATGGGGAAGATTTAAACATTGGAGTGACGTCACGGAGTGAGGTCACAAAATCCATATATGCTTGGTTTCATCGATCCCTATTAATCCCTATTTTATCAATGGCTACTAAATCCCTAGAGTCACTATTAAACCCTACTAATCCATATTATTATCACTAAAAATCCCATTAAATCAAATTAAATTCCAGCGAATTCCAGATTTTGGTTGCCATTCCCTTGGGATTTTCGGCCTCTTCTTGTAGATTTCAGCCTTGTTCTCCATACGAAGCATCTCTTTCTGCAACGCATCAACCTGAAAGGCAGTTTTCGGTTGAAATTGTCGCGGGTTGTCGTCCAGGCGGCAAGGATTAGGGTCGGGGTGAGGGTATAAGGCATACCATTTTTGGGATATAATATGATATAATGAAGATGTAATGGGATATCTATCATTAACCAAAAGTATGATTTTGGGGTGTTTTGTTTGAATAGAGTTGTTCATCAACAAGTCAAGGTGGAAACAGGCCCCGCTATCGGGCACTGCTCTCTTCGATGTCCCAGCCACCCAGCTGTGAATATCATTATATATCTGCAAACTGAAATAACTACCCCAGTCGGAGGGGGCATTTTCCGCAAAGTAAGCGGGAATGACATCCAACTAAAGGATTTACTAAAGGTGTACATAGCCAAATGATGGTCAACCAACATGGCTGGAAAACATCAAACTTATTTTGACCGTTGATTTGGGGTGATGTTCCTTTTTTGGCATGGGGTTTCTTCACTGCAACGATTACCAAAGGGTGAAACCTTATGGTTTGATCCTCCGGCCTTGAATGGAAAGGGGATCTTGCCACAATTAAGTTTGGAAGGCAAGCGCCAAAAGGCACCACGAATGCTTTGAAGGAAAACTACGGTGAAATCACATAAAATTTAATGCGGGTAAAACAATAATAAACCATCCCCAGCCATGGGTGGTTTCTGACATTGCTTTACCCACATAATTCACTATTAATCACCATTAATCACTATTGGTGATTCATGGAAATAATGGGCATTAGGAATGAATGGCACTATTAATCACTATTAATCACTACTACTACTACTAATCACTACTAATCACAACTAATCACTACTAATCACTACTAATCACTACTAATCACTACTAATCACTACTAATCACTACTAATCACTACTAATCACTACTAAT